TCAGCAGGACTGGGAACGACAAGGGGACGAGGTGGCAAAGGAGAAAATTTCTTCTATTTTTGTATTCCTGAATTTACCTGCCTTTGGCATGACAAGCCTTACGTTCAGCATTTCTGCAACTTAAGCAGCACGCTTCTCAGCTGTACTCCCTCCTGCCTCTTGCTGCCATCAGGCAGAATTCAATTTGAAAACACTTCCCAATTCTTGAAAGGTAAACTAGAGTACAGATTGGTTTTGGTTTTTTTGTTTAATGGAGGTAAACTGGAGTACAGTTTGTTTTTATTTTTTTTTTTTTTAGTGGAATACTCATAGGTTTGTTTTCTGTGAGGTTGGATGACTGCCTGTCCTGAACAGATGCCCTCAGTTCTCAAAAAGATTACTTCAGGGTCTATCCTTGAATTAGGTGATTTTAGGACATTTGGCAAAGCTGATCCATTTCCCGAGGATGAAACATGGAGAGAAAATAGAGCTGGTGGAAAAGTGATGAGGGAAAGATTTTTTTTTCCCCTAATGATTACTTAGAACAATAAGCATGATTCCTAAATGTAGATTAATATCCACAAGCATTAAGCAAATTGATAAAAGCAAAAAGAACTTTAAAAAATCCTAAAGGGTGTTTTGAATCCCTCCCAGAGGAAAATTGTACTCTAACACTATGGTATCCTGTGGTATCTGGTAAATGTTAATGAAATCCCAGCTAACTTCAGCTTAGGCTCTGTATCACCAAAGAATATATGACAGGACCCCCCACCCCCCACCGCCCCCAATTCTGCAATGACAGCAGTGCATTGGTTTTGACTCTGTGACTGTTAAAAGGTTTTTCACACTGGACTTGGGCATAACGTGTCTTGGGCTAAATTTTAAGTGCTAAAAGTAGAATTTACCTCTTTGCCTTTGGTATGGTAAATCTATGAATAGGAAACTATGACCTGTTTTTCCTCCCTTTCCTCCTCTGCTCTAGAATTGGCAGAAACATCGTTGCTGAATTCCCGGAAAGCAAGAGGGCCCTATGTACGGATATAAGTATTTGCACCAAAGTGTCTACTTGATATCAATTTGTAAATTACTAGTTCTTTACAAAGATTTATCTAAAAGAACACTGTTTTAGAAGTGTTTATGACATGAAACCCTAAATAACTGTCCCTTTTGGCAAGAAAAAGAATTGTTTTGCAATTTTTCATTGTAAGTTGTATCTACAGAATCAAATTTATCACTAGCATAAGAAGTGTGTATGACTTCACTGTCTTCAATGCAGTCGCATCTATTTAGGTTAGCAGCTAATTTAGGAGCCTGAAGTTAGAAATCAAAAGCTGGGTGGGCAGCTGACCAAAGCAATCTTGCTCTCAAATGCTGAACGTGTGTAGCTCTCATTTATAGCAGGAAAGGGATCAGCACCTAGGTGATAATAGATATTTCTTCTATTTAAGAATCCAAATAGCTTCAAAGTTTGGCCTCTTATTGAAAGAGCTACAAAGCTCCCTTCAAAATAGATAAAACTATTTCTTCAAGTCTTTTCAGATACAGAACTCTAACCTGTACGTTTTCCTCTTCAGACTCCAAACACCAGATTCACAGATGAAGCTACCAGAATGCTTTGGAAAAACAATCAAATGTTGCAATCTTAAGCTAATTAATAATCAACACACAAAAAACCTGAAAGGCTATGTCGATTTTGTTTTAAATAAGGAAGCACCTAACTGACCACGCTCACAAAAAAATTTTGGATTTATATTAGTCAGCATTTGTCCAGGTTACCACCTTGAGCCCAAAGAATATTTACATGTGACTGATTTCCCTCCTCGCAACTCCCTCTATAATATAACTAGTGCTATGTCTTAAGAATACATCAAAATACACCCCATGAACCACTGAGGTACTGCTCCATTTATATCTGGTGTCAATTACAACCAGAAGTGGATTTGGGACCTTTTAGGATTCTGGGTGTAAATAGGAAGAAGTCACTGCAAGGTCAAGATTTTCTAATCTTTCAGAATAGAGCAAATTAATTATTTGCAAGACTTGTTTTTTTATTTCATCTCATCTCCTGTTTTACAATGCAAATTCAAAAGTAAACCTCCTTGTCAAGAAAATGAATGCTTAGCATTTATACAGTGTTTTATCAATTCAAACAAATGTGTAAGCATGTCAGTCCTTCTACAAACCCTGCTCTCTTAGGATATTAAAAGATCGCAGGATTGGGCCATTGATATCATTCAATGAAATGACCTAATCCAATGCCAAAGACTAGCTATTTTGTTTTCTTCTTTGTTTCCCAAACTACGTTTGTACTGACCTCTCTGACACAACACGTGCTTCACACTCAGTGCAGTGGGACCTCACTTATGGTATGGAAATGAAATCACAAATTTTGACATTTGTGGAGCCACTTTGGACTTACACCAGCACACCTAAACTCAGAGCTGTCCTTCCATCTACAGATAGCTCTACTTTTGGTGCTGCAAGGAGTCCGCAAACATACACCACGTCCAGCTGCATGTTTCCTGACTATTTGTAGGCGTAGCCTTGCTGAGCAGACAGAAAGGTCCCTGAAGGAACACTTCTGTCTTGAGTGCACCCCGCGGGGGCAGGTACACTTTTCCATGAAGCCTCAGAGCAGAAAATATGAGCGCTCACGAAGTCTGGAGGGGGGGAGAAGAAACCTTCTACAAGGGACCTGGTGTTCTGCAGGTGCTTTTGCAAATATAAAAAGAGAGGGGAACACGCGTTCCTCAGCGGTG